CTATAACATATGCGTTAAGAAACATCGCAGTGTTTGCTCATTCAATTAGCCGCACATTCCTGATTTTCGGTAGCAACATCTATCTCAAATATTATTATAACAATTTGAGAGATTTTTGCATTCAATTCATTTGCTTCTTCTCAGATTTGATGAATTTGAACAAGAGTTCTAGAAAGGTAGTGGATTCTTTTACCATTGCGTATGCCAGACAATTTCAGCCAATCGTTTTCCTAACTAAGCTTCGATTTCCTTTTTTGCAGAGTATCCGATCAACCGCTTCCTGATGGCTGGGAAATGCGCTTCACAGAACAAGGTGTACCCTTTTTCATTGATCATTCAACCAAGACTACCACCTATAATGATCCTCGTACTGGAAAACCAGTAGGCCCAATGGGAGTTTTTGGCGTCTCGATGTCATATGAGAGAACCTTTAGATGGAAAATAGCGCAGTTCCGTTATTTGTGCCTGGTTCGTTCCTTTCCTATCAATTGTGCTGCTAGTTTTGCTTACGACGAATTTTCAATTTTTTAGTCAAACAGTGTACCTAATCATGTGAAGATAACGGTGTCACGTACGAATGTATTTGAAGACTCATTCCAAGAAATTATGCGGAAGAATGCGGTAGATTTGCGGCGCAGGTTGTACATACAATTTCGTGGAGAAGAAGGACTTGATTATGGAGGAGTGGCTAGGTATATTGAAATTACAGGGTTTTTTTTAATACTGGATGTAAGTGCTTTATTGGTTTCCAGGGAATGGTTTTTCCTGCTTTCGCATGAAGTACTGAATCCGATGTACTGCCTCTTTATGTATGCGGGTAACAGCAACTACAGTCTTCAAATCAATCCTGCTTCATTTGTAAATCCTGATCATTTGAAATATTTCGAATACATTGGAAGATTTATTGCCATGGTCAGTTTTTTTCCACCGGAAATAACCTAGGTAGTGTCAATCGATATGCAATTTATATTGTATAGTTTAAGCAAATTCTCAAACCCTATGAGTTCATAATTTAATATTGAACCATAGTCAACTTAGAGGCGAACTTTTCTTATTCGATTCTGCAAAATTTTGAGCCGTTGACCACCGCGCGACCTACGCCCGGCGAAAAGCATAGGTCCCATGCGACAGTAATTAGTACGCGATCGTTAATGGGTTAAGATTTTTAAAAGAGTCTGATTTGTTGCTTTTCTATTCTGAAACTAAACATTTTGGAACTTAGCCTTTCTTAACTTTTGATGTAGGCTTAGTGATCTCTATTTTTCAGGCTCTTTTCCACGGAAAGTTCATTTATTCTGGTTTCACTATGCCTTTCTACAAGAAGATGCTCAGCAAAAAGATTGCTTTGAAAGACATTGAGCAAGTTGATACAGAGTTTTACAACTCCCTTATGTGGATCAAGGACAACAATATTGACGAGTGCCAGATGGAGTTATACTTTGTGGCGGATTACGAGCTACTTGGAGAACTCAAAACTCATGAGTTGAAACCTGGCGGAACAGACATTGCTGTAACCGAAGCAAACAAACTCGAATATATCTCACTATTAGTCGAATGGCGCTTTAATAGAGGTGTAGAACAGCAGACGAAAGCGTTCTTCACTGGTTTCAATTCAGTATTTCCGCTGGAATGGCTGCAATATTTTGATGAGAGGGAGCTGGAGCTGCTCTTGTGTGGAATGCAGGATGTTGATGTGGATGATTGGCAAAGAAACACTGTCTATCGCCATTACGCTCCTCAAAGCAAACAGGTCGTATGGTTCTGGCAATGGGTCAGAAATCTGGATCAAGAGAAGCGTGCGCGATTGTTGCAGTTTGTGACAGGCACGTGTCGTGTTCCCGTCGGTGGATTTTCGGAGTTGATGGGCAGCACTGGGCCGCAGTTGTTCTGCATTGAAAGAGTCGGTAAGGAGAACTGGCTTCCGCGGTCGCATACCTGCTTCAATCGACTGGATCTTCCACCATATAGAAGTTATGAGCAGTTATCCGAAAAGTTAAACATGGCAATCGAAATGACCGAAGGTTTCGGAAACGAATGATGTGATACTGTGATTAATCGACATGTCTGTGATAATTGGCTTGTTTTAGACTCCTAGTTGTGCACATAGTTCCCTTAAAAACTGTCTCTCCCCAAACTTTATATGTTAGAATTCCTTTGGGAAAGGTTGTGAAAAGTCTAGCTACTCTAGTTTAAATGATTGTCTTTTATTTTCTAAAATCTACTTAAAGCTCGATGGTTATATTTTCGAAAAAATTCCTCATGATAGTCAATTTTGTACACAAGGTTTCTTCACTTGCTCTCTCTGTCACTGGTCATTACAGAGAAATAACTAATAATCGTTTCATGTGTATAGACAATAAAGAACTTCTTGGCGAAGTTATATTTCGTGCATTGCTTAGCGGATAACTTCACCGCTGTATCGTTCATGTTTGTTAAGCAACCTGTTGATTTATCAGTAAATCGGCGTGATTCTTTGAACTGCAGTTGCACTGTAATTTGTTTTTCAAAGGGTTAGTTTATCATCAGGATGGTCGCCAAGGCTGAGGTAGAAACGAAGAAGGAAGAGATGGAGAAGGTAAGAATTTTTCGAAATTTTGTATCCTTCTAAGCTCCTTCAAACTTCTTTTAGGTGGTGGTTGAAGATGGGTCTGATGACTCTGATGATGACGCTCCAGGTCTTGATGGTGAATTGACCGAAGAGCAAAAGAAAGTCGCCGAAGCCGCTGGACTTGGCGATCAGATGGACAAACAAGTAAAGCAGAGCCGCTCTGAAAAAAAGGTCTGTTCTCAAACTATTCCCAGTTCATCAGTTTAGATCGTCTTTCAATCATCATCAATGCCTAACTGCAGCTGAATTGTGTACGAAACCCTAACTCAACCTTTATCTAAGCTTTAGCTCTAATTTACCTTAGTTTTCCTCCTTATCACGAAAGTGGCGCGTACAAGGTTTAATTAGCTTTGACCATAAGAAAATATCATGTTTTTGGAGCAAAAAGGTCTTATAAATAACACTTCAAGCGTTTTCTGTCAGAGCGCGCGTACATATTTTAGTCAGCTGTTTTGGTATCAGTAAGTTGGAATTCAACGTTAAATGTGTATCACATCACTAAATGACTTGATGCTTGGTGCCGTGTATTGTTTAGCAGAAAGTAGTGGAGGAGCTTGGTATAATTTTCAGCTTCACACTAGCGCTTTTAGGCTCGCAAATTGTTCTCAAAACTTGGCCTGAAACCGGTGACTGGTGTTTCTCGTGTCTGTATTCGTAAGTCGAAGAACATTCTTTTCGTTATCAACAAGCCCGACGTGTACAAAAGTCCCGGCTCCGACACATACATTGTGTTCGGTGAAGCGAAGATTGAGGATCTATCGCAGCATCAACAACTGACTGCGATTGATAGAATCAAGCCTAGCGAAGACACCCCAGCTCCATTGGCTACTGTGCAAGAAGACGAGGATGATGGCACTGAGGTGATTATCTTCTAAGTATATATGCTTACACTTATTGGAGTAGGGATATCGTAGTTGGAAATCGAAAGCCTTGTAAAAAATTTACAGTATTTCAAAGTCTTTTGCAAAGAGAATTAACAGTTGCATTACTTTATCTGTTTATAGGAGGACGCTACGGGTATCGAGGAGAAAGACATTGAGCTGGTGATGTCTCAGGCCAACACTTCCCGTAATAAAGCGATAAGAGCACTACGGTCCGCCGACAACGATATCGTAAATGCCATCATGAGCCTGACCATGTAGTAGCTGCCAACTGATACTCAGCGAAATATTCTTTGTTTTTCTTTTACATTTCTTCTGGTTACATGTTGTTGCATGTGCAAATTTACAGTTTATAAATCGTTTTATCGAAGTTGAGTGAGCTAGAGCGGTCAAATTGCTCTTGAGTAATGAGGACCTCTTTGAAGGTTTACTATGGGGTATCTGCTCTCTAAAAACGGGTGTTAGTTATTGTGGAGCATCACTACTTTAATTGAAATATGCTTAATATTCAAAAAAGAAAATCAAGGTAATACGAGAATCCGTTAAAGCTGTCATGATATGTGTAATCATCTGTTCAGTCTACTGCTTACGTTATGTATTAGATAGTTTTATTTCTTCTGTTTAAAGTAGTAGTTTTTATAGTAGTTCTTTTTATAGTAGGCGCAAAATAGGCTTTGTGACTTTACAACAGTTATAGGAACTGAACAAAAATTTACATGTTGATTTCTGCTTGATTATTTTTAGAATTTTTAAAATGATGTTGCATTGGATCTCTTTTACTTGCCATGACGATCACAGGCATTCCATCTTGTTTATTTAATATATCTTTATATTCTGCAGCTAAGCGAATATTTGAAAAAAGTCAGCTGCAATTTGAGAAGTATTTCAATCAAAAATTTCGCAGTTATCCGAGGGACAGCTTGATAAAAATTAATTTTTTGAGGGAAGTGAAACATCAACGAACTTCTAACATGCGGTATTTTTGACTAATTTCCCGTCAGTAATGGTTGGAAATATTGCATCGACACACTCAGTCACACATAGGCAATGCTTGGTACGTGAGGTTTTTTGATCATCGAGCTGGAATTTTTGTCATTTTCGGTTGTCAAGTAGGCAGTTAGACACTTAGCACTATGATGCCTTTGTCATCTCATGTGTTGAATTCGCCTTTGACTGATGACAAACAGTTGTTGGTGTCTGAATAGTCTTCTGGTTAAGTTTGAGCTCTATAAATTTAGGCAAACTAGAGTAATTTTGGTAAATTGACCAAGCTGCTGACAAAATTATACTCTTAAATATCTGAAGTAGTAGTTGTATGGCACGTTAGATCTCTTGCTACATAATCAGCAAAATTTTTTCTTGATTACTCTCCTCCGAACATATTTTCTATTAAAAGTGTTCATATCTTCCTTAATCGAAAAGTAATCGCAGCAACAGGAGCATATACCAAATCTTTGTGTTCTCTGCTTTTGGAAAATATTGGAAAAGATGTCTACCGGTTTTGTATGTAGTGAGAACGTATTTGCTGCGATGCTTGGAAAGTCTGTGCAACCTTTTATCGCTTTGTAATGGGCACGCTTATTGTTACGTGAATGTTTATTTTTTTTTT